GCTTGCCTGGCAAGCACAAGGTCCTGAGTTCAATCCCCGGTTCCACAAAAAAAAAGAGTAACTTGCATAGACTGGGTGTGGCAGTACGTGCCTATAATCCTAGTGCTTGGGAGGCTGAAAACAGGAGGATCAGTAAGATTCTGATCTGTGTAGTGAGACCCTGTACTAAATACATTTTAAAAAAAAGCGTAACTTGCAGGTCATAGTGTAGCTCAGTACCACAGCTATGCATGGGACCCTTCGGTTCCACCACCAGTAGTGAAAAATAAAAGCGACCTTTTCTAGACACAGAGGCATGTGTCTATAGTTCTAGCTACCCTTACTATGACATTACCTCAAAATAAAAAGAAGATGCCAGGTATGGTGGTGCAGGTTTGCAATCCTAGCACTTAGGAGGCTGAGGCAGGAGAATCACCAGCCTAGGCTACACAGTAAGTTCAAGGCTACCCTGAATGAGAGCCTGCCTCAAAGAAAACAAAACAAAATGCAATAAACATTTAAAAAAGGGTCTTGCCTTGTATGCACAAGGTCCTGGGTTTGATCCCCAGCACCATCGCTACACAAAAATAAATAAATAAAAATAAAAAAGATGGGCCTGCTGTGATGGCCCCGCCCCCAGGTACACTAAGAGGGCAGTTGAGACGCCTGGAATCCCAGCTCTTGGGAGGCTGTAAATAAGCAGATCACTATGAGTCCATCTAATAGTGAGACCCTGAACTCCCTGTAGACCCTTCCCTAAAAGTGGGAGGGGTTCAGGATGTAGCTCAGTGTGATCGCTCTAGATCTAACCCCAGATCCCCCCACCCCCACAAAAAAAAAAAAAAAAAAGAATTAAAAAGAGTTAGAACTGGCCCTGCCTCTACTCAGACCCCCAAAGGCTTGCCGGTCACTCACAGGAGATACCCATGTCCTTACTGTGGTCCACAAGCCCTCTTTCCCTAGCCCTCAGCCCTTGGTTCTGTGTCACCTTCCAGGGAACCAGAGCTCTGGCTGTCCTCTTCAGCCTTGTCTCTCCCTGTCACTCACACTTCCTCTCCCCTACTCCCCATCTTACTTTCCTCCCTTGGTAATTAGTATGTTGTTGGTTTTTTTTTTTTTTTTTTTGTTTTTTTTTTTTTTTTTTGGTGGAACTGGGGATTGAACTCAGACCCTTGTGCTGCACTTGCCAGGGAAGCACTTATTCCACTGAGCCATCTCCCCAGCCCCGGTAATTAGTATGTGGATGTGACTTGTTTCTCGTCAGAGTCCCCACAGAGGACAAGGGATCTGCTTTGTCTCTTTTGTGCCCTGCTGTTTCCCCAGACATAGCTTAAGGCCTGGCCGCTGCAGGCACTCAATACACATGCCCTGAATGAATGAGTGGCTTAACATAGGGAAACTGGTTTGGAGACCAGGGGACAGGGAGCAGGTCTCCACTTTCAAGGCCACCATCTGTCTGGAGGATACTGGGCCAGGAGGTGCTCAGAAGGGCAGAGGACTGGGTTCCTGGGGACCAGCAGCTTCGATGGCTGGATGCCAGCTGTAGTGAGGGTATGAGGGAAACCAACAGGGAACCATGTAGCTCCCCAGGAAGTTTGTGCTGGCTTCACAAATGTGAGGGACTACAAAGTCATTTGTTGGGGCTGGGTCAATGGAATAATTTTTTTTTCCTCTTTTGTTTTTTTGAGATAGGGTCTTTCTAGGTAGTTCAGGCTGGCCTTGAACTCACTATGTAGTCATGGTGATTCTTTTGCCTCAACCCTCAAGTACTGGGATTACAGCTGTAGGCCACCATGCCTGGCTCTGAATGATGATGACGACAATTGTTTTTTTTTGAAACAGGGTCTCACTATGTAGTTTAGGCTGGCCTGGAACTTGGGGTGATCCTACTGCCTCATCCTTCCAAGTACTGGGATTACAGATGTGTACCACCATGCGCAGCTCCAAAGGATGATCTGGAAGGCCTGAATGTTCTACATTGTTCTGAACCAGGATATATGACATCACAAGTCTAGCAGTTCACAACACATCGTACCCACAGTTTTAAGCACTTCACTCATTTTATCCTGATGTTATGACTACATTTAAGATGGGGGGGGGGGTCTGGGAAGATGGCTTAGTAGAATAAGTGCTTGCCTGGCAAGTGTAAGGGCCTGAGTTCAATCCCCAGTTCCACCAAAAACAAACAAAAACAAAAACAAAACAAAACAAACAAAAAAAAAAAGATTGGAAATTCAGGTACTGAGAGGTAAAGACACCTGCTTAAGGTCTCAGAGGTGGGAAGTGGTTGGCCCAGGATTTGATCCAAGAACCTGGCCCCAGAGTCACGCTTTAAAACAATAAACTCTGCTCTCTCTGGGTCCCACAGCCAACCTAACTCTTCAGTCCATCTTTGGTGAGCTTTCTCTAGCCTTAACCTGACAGGTGCTGGCAAACTAAATATGGCTTGGTAATTAATTAATTCAACTCATCAACTCAACAGATGTTTATAGAATGCTCTCTGCATCAGACCCTATGTTCTGAGGACACAGGATGAAACAGGCAGTCATTGGGTTGGGGCTGCCCTCCAAACAGGAGAAGACAGACAAAACCCAAACAACTTATGGCTATGTAGCTCAGGAAACCAGCAGGGCACACCAGCCAGAAAGCCACGGAGCATGCACATAAAAGGCAGGGAGTGAAAGGTTGAGCTTGCTCTACAAATAGCACAGCTGTCTTGCTTTGGGGGTGAGGAAAGGGCAATTTTCATCTTTTTCATTATTTTATTGAGAAACAAATAGCAATGAGACAGTTTCAAATCAAATTGGTAGGACAATTTCAATAATTAACACATTGCATACATTCTTCCTAGTGGTTAATTGCTGTACAAGATGTGGACATGATATCTTATTTACAAATACCATAAGAATCATTTTTCTTTTCCTTTCCTTCTCTCCCCCCACCCCCTGGCTTTTTTTTTTTTTTTTTTTTTTGGCAGAACCGGTGATTGAACTCAGGCCCTTGTGCTTGCCAGGGAAGCGATTATTCTACTGAGCCATCTCCCCAGCCCTCCGGGCATTGAACTCAGGACCTTGCATTTGCCACGCAGGTGATTATGACAAGGAGCTAGCTCCCCAGTCTAGGAAAGGGCATTTTCATGTGAGCGCTGGGACACAGTGACTTCTTACCTCCTAGGGTGCAGGCTGAGGTAGTTTCAAGAGGGCAGTTTCAGTCAGGCTCAGCTGCTCTGCTGAGGGAAGAACCAGAAAACCCCAAATCAGCTGATTCTGCCCAAAAGAATACAATTTCATCTTACCAATGAAGGTGGCAACTACAAATCAGGTAACTCTTTTGCTTGAAGTCCCACAAACTTGGGCATACTTGCAGCATCTCAGGAATCTCGGAGTGGGGTGGGGATGTCAGTTTTCATAGCAACCTAGAACCATCCCTCTTTCCCGAATGCGCTCAGAAAAGTAGGGGTCATACTGGCAGAAGCTGGTAACATGATAACTCCTTTCCTAGATGTTTCACCCTCTGCTTTCAATGCCAAAATGTCCTAACCTTGCTTGGTAAGCTGAGTTCCTAGGGTCACTGGAGAGAGGGAAGGTTGTCGTTTTATCACAGTAACCAGGAATTGGGTTTGCCTGTTTTTCACCCTCCCCCCAATATGGTCCAGATCCTGTAACCATAGCAACTGCCCTGCGGGACAGCATCCCCTCCTTTAGATAAAAACACCTGGTGGGTTAGGTCTGTAGACCTCCCATTGTGGGAAAGGAAAAGGGTTACCATGGTAATGCCAACTGGGTGACCTTGGGGGAGGAACTGAGGAAGAACTACTTATTTTTCTTAGAGGCCAGTGTCCTTGAGGGTTCCTCCTACCTGAGTGCAAGGTGCATGTGTATGTGTGTGTGGAGGCAGGGGAGTTGCCATAGTAGCTGACTATGGGGCAGAAGGACCACCAGGGACTTAGGTTACCTTAGCAACATCTTCCTGGTGAAGATGCAGGTTTGGGACTCCAAACCACAAAGAGATAGTACTAATAAGAATGGGGGGGGGGAGGTGTCTAGGCTGGGGAAGGGTTACCATTACAACCAACTTGGCTGGGAATCAGAGAGGATGGGACCCAGGGTGGCTGCCCTCTCTCTCAAAGAGTGAAAGCGACTGTCCAGTGGGATACTTGGGTCTGGCAGGGGTACGGCTCTTTGTGGAAAAGTGAGAGGGAGCAGAAAGCAGCCCTTTCCTAACTCCCACTCTTGCAAGGGCTACGTAGCGCAGCACTAGTGTCTCCTCTGCCCTTGTGGGGTACCCTCTGGTTCCAGCCCCCTCCGTCCCACTCCGCCCCGCCCCGCCACTGCTGGCACACTCGCGCGCGCGCCGCTGGGGGGACACC